AAAAACACTCAAAGCCAAATTTCACAATAACAAAAGCGGACTTTCAATCTTTTACATTCAAGGTTCAGACTAATAAATTAAATTGAATATAATTGAGGGTATCATTGTCTCATCATTCTCATAAATCGTTGTCGCCAAGTGATAAGCGATTGTTTAAATTGTTTCTTGTAAAAACTCGATGGTAGAACAAATATAACAAAGATAAAAGATGATGGAATGAATGAAATAAAATAACTACAAAGATATAACCAAGGATTTCGTGATGCTTTAACACATGTTGATAATAATGAAATAAGAAAGCGAGGAAATAGTAAAACAGCTAATAAAATAGAACTAATAATAAGTTGTTTGTGCTCGTTGATTTGATTAACTAGTTGTTGTCTATAATTAAATTTTGTTCGAGTGGTCGTTCGTTGTCGCGCAATGTTTATGATGATATAAAGAGCTGAAGATAGATTTATTGCACAAGGAACTACAAAATGAAAATATTGAATAATTGTAGTGTATCGTTCAACTGATTGAGAATACTGAAGTACACACCAAACACGTCGTTCTTCATGATCATCAAATACATCGCGAGAGATGAGTTCATAACACATTGAACCCAAAATTATAAATGGTAAAAGGCAACATACCCATCGTGCAATACATCTACTTCTTTTCTTATTAAAATTAATTCCTTGCAGGACTGATATTGCCCTTTCTATGGCCACGCAAGTATTAAGCCAATTACTCATATTTAAGAAAAGACGAAGCAAAGGTTCAAGTACTAAACATCCAATTCGAAGAATATTACGATTGATCAATGGATTCATATACGTATATGTTACAAACCAGAATTTTATAATTAACATAGTAACAATCAGAATAGAAATAATTGATGATAAGCGAAGATAAATTCCAGATCCTACTTTACGAGAATCACGATTATGGAAAACTAAATAACTAAGAAAACCATTGATTAAACCAATGAGAAAAATAATCATGATAAATGTTGCACTTAATTTAACTACCAACGATTGATCATTTAATGTACTATTAGGTCGAATTTCATATCTCAATAAATCATCTAATGTTAATCCAATACCTTTAGCATAAAACTGACATCGATCACCAAAGAAACAATCCTTACATACACATAGAATACTATAAAAACATATAGGTTGATCTTGTAAACATGTTCCACCATTTTCACAATAAACATTATCGTCACAGATAAAACTCAATTGTTGGTCTAATAGAAAACAATTACTATGATGCTCTTCCGTGCATAGACACATGTAAAATTCATCGACAAAACATTGTAGATTAAAATCACGTTGACATGGAATATGATAACTTTTCAATCGTTGAATTCGTGGTAATGATACTAATTTAGTATTCAAAACTTCATCAACGGAAGCACATCGCTGTGCAGGATTAATCGATGTTGTTATGTTAGGTTGTTCGAGTTTTTGAAGTACAGCCAAATAATAACGAGCACCAATTTTGACAAGAATCATTTCGACCGTACGTTGAGAGTATAAAATAATTTGATTCTGAAACATAGCCATTTTTTTGAGTGTAATAAATGTTGGTATTGATTGTTCAAAACTAATCTCTTCGTAGATATAAACAAGTAAGTGTGATGGAATTTCAATATTCTTAAGGGAAATCTCTATTTTATGATTGACGTATTGGCATCTTGATCCATGAAATTGTTCTGAACAGAAGCATACATAACTTTCATCAATCATTCTCTCATCGAGAACGACACATCGACCATTGTTTTTGCAAAATCCTACTGGACACATTAGTTCAAGACGACAAAATGAACCAAACCTATTTTGAGGACAAACACATATTGATCGATTTTGAATCGAACCAATACAGACTGAATTTGGTGCGCACATGCTACAATCAATTGGAATATGACACTGTGCACCAGAACAACCTGAATAACATTGACAGAAAAATCGTTCTTCATTATGATATTTCATGCAGGTGCCTTTATAACATTGCAGATTACAATGATTAAAATTGAATGATCGAGAAATTGGAATAGTCAAAAAAGCACTCAATCGATTAACTGGTAAAAAAATAAATGGAATCGTTAAATGCCAACTTAATAGATGCGTCATTGAACTCTTGTCAAAGGTGTCAATACGAATGCTATATTTTTTTGAATTATTCTTGTCTCGTGTTGTGTATAATAGATAAACATCTACAGTTTGACCACAAAATGTTTTTGATTCATAAGTAAATTGATGGTACGAATGAATTTCTTGTGTAGCATTGTCATCTTCCATTAAGGTAACAATAATAGCATAGACAATCGGTTGATGGACTGTTGCCAATACGATAGTTAAACTAACACGTTGATTTTGATATTGACATTGATCACCATAATAATTTGGCGGACAAAAACATAGACTTCTATAATTGCCAACTCCAAGTCGATGATACATATGTAAACCATAATTGCAAACATTGGACTGTATCGTATTATTAATCGGCAAGTCTATCTTTTCGTCAGTGATCTGGTTTTTAATAGGATATATTGGAGTAGTCTGTAAGATTGGATAAACTAATGCAGTATCTAATAAAAAATCCTTATAAGCTGTATTAATAATTCGACATGAAATGCCTCGCATATTAATAAAATTATCAAAATTATAGCCATTACATAACTGAAGACGGTCAAGACAAAATTCATAATTATCATACGGTAGACATTTTTGATTTTCATTGCAAGGATTTTGATCATCTTCTTCACATTTCGTGTGATTCGAGCAATGAAATTTGTTCGTTTGAAAATATTGAAATTCATTGGATAATGCTCCAAAACAATCGACGGTTTCATTAATGACTTGACCGGCTGGTAAACACATCTGTGTATAATTCTGTGGCGAAGTACAGAAAAAGAAATGAGTTAATGTAATTGATTCCGTACAATTTTCTTCATCTTCTCCATCAAGACAATTTCGAAAGCCATCACATCGTGTATAGATATTATTGCATTGCCAATCTTCACAATGAGTCTCATCTGAATGATTTTGTCCATTAATCAACATCAAGGGCATATCTGCAATACGATCGCATATTCGATAAAATAAAATTTTCTCATAATTTATTTCTATTGGACGAGAGCAGATATCTGGTGAAATTAAAGGTGAATGACATTGTTTCTCATTCGGACATTGAAATCGAAGCGTTTGATTTAATAAACAACTCAATTCGAATGCTTCTTCATCATCTTTTAAAAAACAATCGGGTATACCATCAACGATTCGGTATTTTGAAATATATTTTGACGAATTCTTACAATGATATAATGATGAATAATGAGAACTGATGTTTTGATAACGTTGAGTGACACAACCAATAAAGTATGGTCTGACTGAATCGATGACAGATTTCCATGTAGTTAATTCGACATTCAAGTCAAAGCCTGTTTCATTTCCGTATCGACAGTTTAGATTTTTATAAGGAAATGTAGGTGTAAGAAAATCACATAATTGCTCATCATAACAAATATAATCAGGTTTGAGAGCTAATGTTAGATTGATATTGTCAATTTCTTTTGGTTCATATAAAAATCTAACATGACCAAAGAGTACAGGAATAACCGGAAATTCAAGAGGAAACGTACAGTTTTTAAACTCTTCAATGATTTCAGAAGATTGCATGAGCAGTTGATCACATGTTACGTTTTCGATTTTATTCGTAATTTTGCTAAGACAAACCATAATTATCCAACATGAGTAGGATAAATTTCCTTGAATACTAATTGATTGAATCAATGCTAAATGTCGATTATTTTGACATTGACCAAAATCTTCTACACATTGTCCATCACCGCACGTAAATTGACCTTCGTCAGGCCGACATACATATTCTTGGCATTCGAATAAATGTGGCCGATAATTAGCTTTCAGAAGACGATTGGTCTTAACAATTTCATCCGATCCATCAAAACATTGCGCTTCCACAAATATCATTTCCAAAAAGATTTTTGGAATACATAATCCATTACGACATCGATATTCATTCTCATTACATTCATTCATTTCTAAATTGAAACATCCAATTTCATCAATACCATTATTTAGACAATCGATTCGACTATTACATATCTCACGCCAATCGAGACAAATCGATGGACCACCACGATTACATTCTAAAAGAATGTAACACGTTTGTCGAAACATATTATCTGTTGAAGTCATTTCGCATGGATTTCGGACTGATACATCTTCATTTATTCCTAATGAATATTGACATCGAGATCCAAACCATGGACCTGTACAATTAAAAAACGTTTCATTCGATAAATTAGATTGAGCTGGTCGATCGAGATAGTATTGATATTTTTCAGCGACATCAATCGACGACGACCATAGAAGAACTTCATGTGAGGTAATATTCAGATGATATAATTCGTTGAAAGTAAAATATTCATCAGATATATTAAAAAAAGGATTTACTGTCGTCAAATTCTTGTCTTTATTTGGACGAATACAATGTTTAACTATTCCAGGAAAGGATGATTTAGATGAAAAATAATGCAAACAGTCAAATCCAAATGGGTCTGTATCATACAAAGGCGATTGTAAACCATTAGATGTCCATAGAGAAAAAAACATAATATAAAGAAATCTCAACATTTTATTCAAATGTAACTTTGCACACAAATGACAATATAACATAATGTATAGATAGATTTAACACAACTTTTATAGTAAATATTTATCATTATTTGGTTATATTAATAGTGTTCACTATTATACGTGTCATTCTTTGAGACGTGATATATCAAAACACAACAATGCGATCTGATACTCCTTTTTATTTATGTATCTAGATGTGACACATTCATATGATAGAAAAATGTAGACATTGTTAGGTATCTTCTTTTATTTGGTAGAAAGTGATTATCATGCATGAAGCATCTTGATTGGCAAAAAAGTTCAAAAGAAAATACCAAGAATGCCATGATTATAGATGCCAACATTAACATTGTGGAACCTTGCCCGAACAGTGGTGATCGGTTACATAGCCATGATTTCGATTGGGTAATTCGATTTTATACCATTTTTGCTTTCTACCCGAAAGTATCTCGATTTCAAAGCAATTACTTGGATAGCGCTTGCTGGTGATAGCCCAGCCAACGTCAGGGCAGCTCATTTTTGCACACGTAAAAATAGGAACTCTTTGAAGACATAGAACATAGCTAGCCTAGTTTTATGAACAAAAAATATTGTAAATATTCAATTATTCGATTAAAACAAAACTTTACCTCGGATACTGCCAGAGCGATGCCTAAGATGATGAAAAGACGAATAGTAGCCAAATGCATTTTTGTTTTGAATCGAATAATTTCAGCAATCAAGACAACCCTTTATATACATGGGTGAATACAAAAATCATATAATTTATTGCACAGCTTGTGATAAGTGCAAATGATGAGTAACTGATTATGGTATCGAAGTCATTTTATTAGGAAAGAATGAAGTATTTGATTTGCATATTGCATTTATTGTTTTTTGATTGAGATAAAATTCCACTTTCTGAATCTTTTTTTTTCTTTCTTTCTTTTTCTTTCTTTCACTTTTTTCTTTTCTTTTTTTCTTTTCTTTCTTTTCTTTTTTTTCTTTTCTATTTAGAATACAATATTTGACTATCTCAGAAAATTCTGGCTCAAATGAAAAAGAATATAAACAATTTAATCCAAATCAGGGTTGCGAAATTCAACTTTTACAGATCAGAATTTCTTTGTTAAAAAACAGGAGTTGGTCAGGAGAAAAATCAAGGCACTTTCTCTCGAGATCAGAAGGAAAATACGACAGTGTCATATACTTTATTTGCGAAAAGGCAAAGCTTTTCACCCTCAAATATGTATGAGTATGGTTTTTAATAAACGAGCAATGAAAAGGTCTGTCTCAGTAGATGAAATAAAGAAAAACAGAAAGATAATAAAACATCGTTCATTTTATTGGTCTTTTCAGAGCTGTTCATTGAAAAATATAAACAAAACAGATACAAATGGGTTTTAAGAAACCGCCAACGAATTGAAACAGAACAGAGTAAACCATTTCCTACATTTTTTTGATATTGTTGTTTCACGATTGTATTTTTCTTTTGAGTGAATTGATTTCAACAGTTCTTTACCATCTCAGAGATTTTTTTTATTTTAATTTTGAATTCGGCATTCATTAGGATCATTTTTCATTCTATTTCTATTAGCATATCACCAAGACTTTTGAGTGACTGAAACTTGACTATTATTAGTTATTTAAACTCATTATTTATCGGCCTATAGCACCACTGGGACCGAATCGGTTATAAAAAAAACTTAATCGACTTATAGAGGTGAGAACTGTACGAGTTGAAATTTTTTAAAAGCTTTCTTTGTCGATCTTAATTCTGGCCATAAAAAACTAAGACAGCACATACAGTTCAGATAGAATTAATATAAAAGGGGGCAAAACACAGGGTATTTAATTATTTGTTGTGAGGTTCACTTTAAAAAGATGGTTTTTATTGGATGTCTCATACATGCTCTCCGAAACTACGCCCGCACACAAAAGTCTTTCTCCCCTTCGTTTCTTTGTTATCATACTTTGTATAAAGTTTATTGCCGAGTAGAGATAAGACTTTAGAGTTTTATTGTATTATGATCTATATACCATACTGAAATAAAACTCTCAAGCTATATCTCCACTCGGCAATAAATTTTATACAAAGTATGATAGCACAGATATAAAGACAAAGAAAAGACTTTTGTCCATGTTTTCTATAAAAATTGTTTTTCAAAAGAATTTGAAATTTTTCACTCGTTTTTTTGTCTGGTTCACCCGAATTTTTTCGGTACAGCATGTGATTTTAATCGATCAGTTTACCGACGAGACTAGTTGACCATTTCACAACCGACTCTCAGTGCTAATTCATCTCATTTCGCAAAAAATGAGTATTCTTACAAACAAAAGCTGAAGACGATTAAAACACCGGAAAGAAGTCGAAATCTTCGAAATACTTCATTTTACAAAAAATATAGAAGTATCGTGTAAATACTCAGTATGGAATCGTGCTTTTTAAATCAGAACTTGTATTTTTTCAAAAATAAAATCCTATTATACGACCAGACTTTTTGCGATTCAGTCTTATATGCTGAAATGTCAAAATATTGAATATAATGCTGATTTCGCATCACCTGCATTGCTATTACATATATCTAACTGTGATAATTCTCTTTTTTTCTCATTTTTTAAGCATTGAACGGCGTTAGTATTAAGGTACCCCCCCCCCACCCCCTCCCCATATTATAAGTCTATGAAGGCGTCTAATATGTTCACCACCTGAAGCTTCTTGAGGGGGCTTCTATTATGGAAACAGGTTTAAGAAAATTATTAAAATCAAGAGAGATCAGGAGAAGACCTTAAAAGTCAGCTTGTAGATTCAGCAGAAAGACTATCAGGAGAAAAGTTAAAAAATCAGGAGGTTTGACAGCCCTGGTCCAGATGGATCCGTATCATAGAAAAGCGACTGTAATCCATTAAATATCCATAGAAAAAACATAATATAAAACAAAATCTCAACATTATTCAATTCAAATGTAGCTTTGTACACAAATGACAATATAATGTATAGATTTAACTGACAATTATTACGATAAATATTTATCATTATTTGGTTATATTAATAGTGTTCATTATTACACATGTCATTTTGTGAAACTTTTATCTCAATGAGACGTGATCTGATACTTGTTTTATTTTTCTTTCTAGATATGGCACATTCATTCAATAGAAATCTCTACAAATTGTCAGGTATCTTCTTTTATTTGATGGAAAATTAACATCATGTATGAAGCATCTTGATTAACAGAAAAAAAGTTCAAAAGTAGATATCAAGAATGCCATGATTGTAAATACCATCATTTACAATGCGGAACCTTGCCCGAGCAGTGGTGATCGGTTACATAGCCATGTTTTCCATCGGGTAATTCGATCTTAAACCATTTTTGGTTTTTACCCAAAACGTTCTCTATTTTAAAGCAATCACATGGATAGTGATCGCTGGTAACAGCATCGCCAACTACACGACAGCCCATCGATGCACATGAATAAATAGGAACTCTTTGACGACACATGACATCAGCAGCCTAATTATATGAAAAAACAAATATTGTAAATATTAAATTATTCAATTAAAACAAAAACTTTACCTCGTATACTGCCAAAGCAATACCTAAGACGATGAGAAGACGAATAATAGTCGAACACATTTTTGTTTTGAATTGAATAATTTCAGCAATCAAGACAACCCTTTATATACATGGGTGAATACAAAAATCGTATGATTTATCGCGGAAGTATCAGTATGTTGGAAACTACATTATTGCGAAGCTTGTGATAAGTGCCAATGATGAATTACTAATAATAGGCTTAAAGTCATTTGATCAGAAGAGAGGAAGTATTTGATTTGCATATTGCGTTTATTGTTTTTCGATTGAGATAAAATTTCACTTTCTGAATCAGCGATATATTATCATTCAGCATATCAGGATTCTGTTGCCTAAAGAACCCGGAAGTGACATCCTTAATCGTTATTCAAAATCAAAAGCCTATACATTTAATAGAATTTATCATCTGTAAATGAACGAAATTCTTTTGAGTCAATCTATCTATATGTAAAGCTAGTGAAATCGTCATGATCATTCTTTTTTTCGACTTCATTTATCTATGTAAAACAGCACTATTTAGGATTTTTAATGGTCTCAAGCAAAGTATTGAATCATTTATCTATTATCAGTTATGAAATTAAAAGCTTCACTAGATTATCTTTGTCTTCAGACTATTTCCTAAATTCAACTGAATCGATCAGTTCTTTGATTAAGATACAAGAAATTTGATGATTTTTTCTTGTATCATTTCAACGACGTCATTTACTCATATGATCCTATTTACTAAGAATGATGATATACACTTGTATGAATCATTACATCAAAGATTGTTTTATGGTGCGATGATTATAGTTTCCAATTTAAACTTTTAACCTTTAATATGTTGCATTGTTGATTCTTAGATAATAGCAAAACACGTGAATATTAATTATATATTTGACTTTCATTATACATGCATTAATCTTTAAAGATTAAGTAGGCTTAGCTTTTTTGTGTAGTAGTATTGTTGGTAAATATTGAATCAATAATTTGTTTCCACGAAAAAACTACTACTTCCTTGTCATACGATGATTTCGAGCAATAGGCTTAAGTTGATTCAAAAACAAACTACAATGAGAATGTGGGCGAAGCGAATAAAGATATTTGATCTGTCCCACACAACTACTGAATATACGTTGTAAACTGTATATGTGAAAGTATTTACAAGTGACACTTTTATAAATAATATTGAAGAGAATAAAATAATTTTTGCCTTGAATTACTAGATGCAGACGGAGTTTTGAAAAGTGTTTGAATGGATGAAAGATTAATACAGCAAAAATATGATCCTCGCGATGGTATAAACAGTTGTTATTTTTATTTTTCAAGTTTGAAACACATTTATTGAAAGAAACATAGATTTTAATGCAACTTTGAATATTATAAGTGTCAATGACATACGGTTAGTATAGGAAAAACAAAATATCTATTTCAGTACACGCTACAAGTAGGAAATAATTTAAATTTGCTAGCTTGACGATATAAGTAATCAGCTAAACCAAATACGATCAACTTCTGTAACTTACAGTACACGATCTTTCACTGTAAGGCAAATTATTTTACAAAAATATATTAATAAAACATAAGAATATGATTTACTGTTGCGACAATTCAGAGAAGGCAACTGGACTGCAAGTAAATGGATGAGGTTGAGAATGTGATATTCTGCTTTACTTTCACTCTCAAGACATGTTTTTGTGATACTGTATGCAACACTATTGTTGGAAGCACATATAGATGGTGCATTTCGATACAGTGTGTGTCATAGTTTATCTGCAGCTATATTGGAAATCGCCAACTAACAAAAGAAACTATCTGTTCTTTTGTAAAATATGAATAATAATAATAAGAAACATGATCATCATTTGAGTAATTCAAGAAAGGTCAATATATAGTAAAAAAGAAAGAGAAACCGATTGTTGAATTAATGGTTCTACCTTTCATTCTACTATCTGTTTCATTAGTAATCGAGCAAATAAAGAGGAAGAACCTTTGAGAGAAATATTGTTATTAAGCTGCGCATAGAAAAACAAAATATTCAAGTCAATTGCGCAATCGATCACAGAAACACGTTGATATTTACTTCTAATCAACAAGGATGTAAGTGTGGGTATGAGTGTGAATAGAAAAAGTAGACACCCACACTCACACCCTCAAGATGGCGAGAACTATGCCATTTCAGATAATAATCTGAATGATAAACTGGAGTTAGGGTGTATTAAAAAAGAGAAAGTGAGATATGTGCAATTACTTTCCATTACATCGAATGATTAGATGTATGTCGGCTTAAACGCGTAATGCGTCACCTCACGGGACCGTAGTTTAAAAATTTCGATCCAAATATCATGACTATAGTCTTCTATAGTATAGCATCAAATGGTTGGATGTTATTCTAGACTACAACAGTGAGAGGCCAGTACAGCCCTGCAGTTCCGAAAAAAATAGAACCGAAAACCGAACCGGAACCGGAACCTGTGGAACCGAAAATATATTTTTAATGGTAGCTAAAATACTATTCAGATACAATATAATCTTTAGTCTGCAGTTTATGATAGCTGTAATAGTACAGTTTTTCTTCTATCTTTGGGAACATATTACTATTTTATTAAAATAATAAACGTGAACGATCTTGAAAATGAAATGTAGAAATTATTGGAAAAACCTATCTTTTAATATTTTTTTTATTATCGTAAAATCACCGGTTCCCAAAACAGATTTTAGGAGCCGCAGGGCTCTACCAGCCACAACCACAACCACACCCTTGTTGTGTTATTATCAGCAACAATTAAAATAATGGAAAATATTATCCAAATTAATTTTTTCTACTGAAAATGCTCACATCTAAAATAATTTATTATAATTCATATAATATATGCATACAATGTTCGTAATCGTGTTGTATTAGAGTTAACTTCAACAGACTAAAATATTCAAAAAGAAAATAAGAGTATTTTTTTCTTTCTATTTAATACATTACTACATCAGGTTCAACTCTGTTATTCATGTTCATAGTTGTTGTTCTATCTAAAGTTGAATACTTTTACAATCTAAAATCAAGAAAACATACGTTATGCCTCATTGAATATTATTTTGATTTATTCTTATGTGACATGAATGAAAAGAATATGAAAATGAAATAAATTTCTCTGCTTTTTCTTAATTAAAGAAAAACAAGTCATATTTTCAATAATCAGTTTAGAATGTTGTAATATTTGTAATAAAAAAATCTTACGTCACTAGAACCATTAATCATATTTCTGTTTCTCAAAATTATTTTATATTAATATGATAAATCTGTGGAATAAAATATAGAAGTAAATAATATTTATTATGATTATTTTCAAAAGTAAAAAAAATGAGAAAGTTAGAAAACGATGTAAAATATTGCATAAGATATATTGAGAAGGATTAAAAAGAATAGAATATTTATTGTTACAAATATGTTGTATTTAAGCAGCTATTTTAATTGTTTTTGTGTTAGATGTGTGTAAATAGCAACAAAATATAAACTTATTTGCTTAACTGATGTACATAAAGGGACTTATCCTTCATTAATACTCACAGGAAGAGAAATATCTTGAGGGTGTGGGTGAGAATGTATGTGAGCGTGACTGAAGAAGCTACACTTGTACACATACACCCGCACCCACCTTCACCCACACCCACACCCACACCCACACCCACCTTCGCCCACACTCACCCGCCTTCACCCACACTCACCCATACCCACCTTCACCTACACCCACACCTACACCCTCACCCTAAAGATAGGTTTGTATCCTAAAAAATAACACTACTTTCCGCTTTTTTTTTATAAACCGCCATCCCCTCATGGAAATCCTGAATTCGGCCCTGCTATATGATCCAATATCAGAATCATGGGCAATCACTAGTAGTATGCGTTATACACGCGTTATGCATACATCAACTTTGTTAAAAAATGGGAGAGTATTAGTGGCTCGTCAAGATGAAGCTATTAATTATCTATGTATTGTCCAACTTTGTTAGTAAAAAGACATTTATTTTGCTTTTCATCATTTAAGTCTTTTCATATCACTATGTGGATGTGAGTCTGGGCGATTTATATTGTTTAATATAATAAGAACAATAAGATCACATATTTTTCAGAAATTTTATTGTATACAAAAGCAGTATCAAGACAAAACTGTGTGAGGGTATGTGTGGATCAGTAGGGTGATTGTGTCAACAAGAAGATAACTGCACCTTTATCAATATCCTCAAGATAAATAGCCTTCAAACAATCTAAAAAAAAATTATATGATTATTTCATTTCGATTATCTTTTATTGAAATGAAGCAAAACAGAAAACTGCTGAAATACAGAAGAGAAATGCGGACACAAAGCGAACATAAATATATTGCAAGGTAAGCAAGAATATATATCAAGTGTTTTTGTCATTTTTTTTTCATCCAGTAATTTGAAATTCCAATTGAAAGGTCAATCAAATAATATTTTGTTTAACTCAAAGTTTGAGAAACTTCTGAACACGCTTGTTACCTGTATCACAAACATACATATTCATTGCCGAATCAAATGTAATACCACGTGGACTGTTTAACTGTGTTGAACTATCACCAGCGACACCATTTCCAAAAATAGTCACACCTACATGACTATTTTCACAAAACATTTGAACTCGATGGTTCTTCTCGTCAACAACATACATATTCAGATTAGCATCAATTCTAACATCCGCCGGTTCGAAAAGGCAAACAGAGTTAGAACACGATATACCTGGCAGACCGGCTACAAACGTACCTGAGGTAGCATCAAGAGTCCAGCGTATTACTGAATGTCCGTCCCAGTTTACGATAAGTAAATCATTATTTATCGATGATAAATACCGAATATTATATGGTCCATTCAATGTTTCGATTGTATTGTCAGATCTTCCTGTTCCAGCTACAACAATTCCATCAGTACCTGAAATTGAATTCGTCGAAAAACGTACTACTCGATGACAGCTACGATCAGCAATATACATAAATGTATCTGTTGGATCAAAAGCAAAACCTCGAGGATAATATAACCGGTTTAAAGAACATCCACCTAATCCAGTCTGACCCGCAATCGTTATTCCATGTGTTGTTCCGTTAATGAATTTTTGTATACGCTGATTGTTAGTATCGACCACATATATACTTCCATATCGATCAACATAAACATCTTCGGGATAGTGTAGTTTAGCACTATCAGATCCTGCTGATTCATAAACTCCAGCGACAATTATTGCATTTTCGGCATTTTTTGATAACTTCCAGATATAGTGCCTGTCTTTATCAGCACCATACAAAGTGTCATTGGAATCAATGAACATACGTGTGCATGTTAATCTTGTTGATGAGGAGAATAGCGTGATGCCTGTTGTACTCCATGATGAATTGCAGGATGCACCTAGTATTAAAATAAATCAAAATACTATGTTACTCACTAGCTGATAGTGAAACATCGGTTTCAGAATACGATTGGAGTCAAAGCCAGATACAACATTGATACATATGTGATTATTTATTCGATATAGCTATTCTTTGACTCTTTTTTCTCTCAAAATCGATACGATATAGTCTCAACACAAGTCTGAAGCTGCTCTCAAAAAGTTCTTGAGGGTGTGGGTATGGGTGCGGGCGTAGGTATGTACGTGTGCATATTGTGTCTGTGATACCTACACCTACATCCTCATCCCCACCGTTACTCACACCCACATCCACCCACACCCTCAAGATAGTATTTACTCATATATGTAAAAAGGAATTAATGTCAGTTTTTCTGTCAAATAATTTAGAGAGCAACATGCTGAGCTCTCATCAGTTTTCCCCTATTGATGCTTATTAATTAGCAGAAAACGTTACAAAAATAGAAGGTTCATATCTAGTATTTACACTGACGAAATTTCCTTAAAATAAACACCATCAGTCACACGATAATGTGCAATGCTACAGAAGTGTTTCACCTTGTAGCTAAGGGAAAGCGTGCGTGTGTACCAATGAACAAGACCTCAACACCTGTACCCGTATCCTCAAACTTCTACTCAGATAACCAAATCAGAAGTTAACATGAAAATATGAGAGGTACAATCAAAATTTGAAATCACATAGTTAAAAAATGCAAAAATACGCTGCTTTAGCTTTCGAACATCCTCAAAAACACTTGAGGCAAAGCTTATCTGAGAAATATTGGCTAGTATCTGGCTGTCGTTATCAGATTGACGGTAGCGAATTTCCCGTAGTAATGTAATAAATTGAATTAGTGCGACTAACTGAACCATGACTAAAGTAAACGATGAGTGTTTATGCGATTAGAGATGGCATATGAGTATAGGTTTGAAAGGTAGTTCGAATATCTTTCTTCACACGTTGGGATAGTAGTAACGCAAATAAGATACATGAGCTATGCACGATTTTCATAAAATAGAGCATGTTATAATTCAACTCAAGAAAGTCATCGATTAGTAAAAACATGAAGAGATCTGCGCTTCAGTACTCACAAACAGTTTCTCTCGGCATATCGTGACAAACAATACCTTATCACTCATAAGCGTGCTCATACGCGCAGATATTATTCACTTCTTCAGAACGCATCCTACAAGAATGTTATGTATTCACTGCGAAGTGTATACAATCAGCTGCTAGTTTATATGGCTCTTCTCAGAAATAGCCAATCCAACACCCTTACTCAACACTTTTCTCAAACTTGACCTCATTACGTAACGATATAGAAAAACTACATATGGAATTTGAAGATAAAACTATAGACGCAATTTTATAGACTCAAAAAAATACAGACATGTAACACATCAATACCTGGCAAATAAAGAACGATTCAAAACTCTACCGAGCGGTTATGAAAACGAAACTTCCTCTCTGTTACTAATCGCTTACCAAACTCTTCAAACATAACAGAAATCTTCGAACGCGAAAGACACGCCAACTCAAAAAAATGCGTATTTATCTGAACAAAACCAATTTGCTGCACCTCACTATATACAGGAATACTTACGCTGGCAATAGCCATCTATGCATGAAATATTACTACTGCCAGTGCTACAATCCTGATCGACTTTACACATCTGGTATAAAGCACATGTAGGACAAACGAGTCCACCACAATCGATGTCCGTTTCATCTCCATTCATAATTCCATCACTGCAGGTTTTATCTAGGAAGAGGGCAAAGATTCAAGAACACTTGTTACTCAACAAATCATTCTTTACTTTTACAAGTGCTAGAAACACAGCTTTTAATGGCACAGTCACCAGCACCAGAACATGCTTTTCCAGTACCACACGGTGAACAGTTCGAACCTCCACAGTCGACATCTGTCTCTCCATTGTTCGTTATGGTATCGTTACATGTTGCACCTATTCAGAGAAGAAGCAGTGAATCTTTTGAATAAATATTTTCTCAAGAAGTATCACACTTACTTGCACAGATGTCGTTGACACACTGAACATTATTACAGTCTTTTGTCAATGTGCAATTTTTACCCACAGCGCATGTAAGACATGAACCTCCACAATCGATGTCAGTTTCATTTTCATTCATAATTCCATCAATGCAGGTTTTATCTAGGAAGAGAACAAAGATTCAAAAGACCCTGCGACTCAACAAATCATTCTTTACCTTTAGTAAGTGCAGACACTTCTCTGGCACTGAGTTCTCGTGAGTAGACACGAAACTCATCTATATAGCCAGAAAATGTGCCTGTTACAATTGACTTTGAATTACATCTGCCACCACCTAGTGAGTTGCCCAATGTCAGAATAACCGATGTACCTGGTGCATCGTTGGACTGTGGAGCTGTACTACCTACATATACTCCATTAACATATAATGTAAGCCCATCTGTTTGTGAATAAGTAGTGGCAACATGCGTCCACGTGTTGACCGATAAAACAGGACCTGTTACCTGGTTGTCTGGCGCCCAAGCAGTAGCAATTATATTACCAGCAGATGAAAATCCTATTGGAACAATACACCATCCTTGTCCATCTGTTTGTGTCGAGTAATGAACAAGAGTTCCTCCACCTGTCGATGTTCGTTGTACCCATAGAGACATAGAAAATGAACTGCTTTTGACTCCAAGAAGAACATATCCGGGTATCTAAATAATTATTATATATAGTATGGCCGTACCACAGATTGGAACGTTTTTTTTAGCTTCTTTATCGTACTTTTTCCAGCAAACAATCTGTAATTAGTTTCTTAGAAAAAATTTCTCAAAGCTTCTAACCATTTTTCAGTTAACGATATAGTTTTGACAAAAAATGCTAATTAATATAACTTATTTCTTTTAAGATATCAATACCTGATAAAAAGATGAATTCAAGCTGAAGTTTAATCCTTGATCCACTTTACCAGATGCTAATGTGAGATCAACAGCCTTTCCTTGGAGTTTATTTGGACCTGAATCATAAGTAATTTCATAATCAAATGAATACCATGAGGCCAAAGTAGCATCGTCAAGAATGTCGTCAGCACTGTTAACTGCCATAGTGAGTGACACTTGGTCGATGTAACTAAATGTATAAGAATAATATACAGTCAAAAAACAAAAGCGATGACTTGTGTTTTCTTTCAATTTTTATACTGTTTAGAAAATGATCTGACTGATAAGAGATACTAAGGAGCGAATCTACATAAATATACGATGAGTTTTGCTCATTCTCGGTAGCTTCGCTAATTGTGTAAAAAAATAAAAAAATAATCTTCGACAGCAGAAACAATGCCTCTAGAGCTATATATTTCTAACTCAATTGGATAAAGACAAAGAATGATTCAGTCTTTTTTCTCACCCATCAAAGTAATCATAGCTAGTACCATCCTGGTGCATTCCAATATTTATCGAACTACCCGTGCCTAAATATGGCCCTGCTGAACTATGACTGCCATCTTGGTATCCATTTAAATAAACAGTTTGTGTTTTTGATGGATAATCGTAGACAAAAGCTGCGTGATACCAAGTATTCGTTGTCAGTGAAGTTGCACCATCAATTCCACCACCGTAAAAGTCTAGGGACAGCTTTAAACCTCGAATCATCATCTGTAATGAGTAGTCTTTTGATGACCTGGTATATTGAGTAAAGAGTCCAAAAAAGTGATCACCATTGATTAGAGTCGTAGGATAAATCCACATTTCCACTGTAAAACTAACACCAGCGAAGCTTTTTATGCTTGGTATTTTTATGTACTGCTTACTAGTACGGATGAGCTTCAAAGCATATCCACTACCGGTGATGCCAGGTGTTACATAAGTAGGTGAGTTGGCACCTTCTCCATAAAGACCTGATATGATATCAACAGCATTGTTCTCCATTGGCCAGAAACTGTAATTTCCATTCAAATATACGACTGATATAAAAGAAAATAAAACGACAAAGTTAACACGTACATTTTTTTTTGAAATCCGTATGCTAATATCTTCTACTGGAAAACTTAATATGTCCACAAAAATATAACGTCATCTTGAGGGTGGGTATGGGTGTGGGTGTGTGTAGGGCTCTGCAAAGTGGTCTCGATCCCAGTCCCGCGGGACTGGGACTAAATTTCCATTTTCTTTCGGGACCGGGACCGGGACCTTTCTGTTTTTTTTTATCGGAGTCGGGATGGGACCAAAACTGTCATCTGGCCCCGCCAATTTTTTATCATATATTAAACTAGATATTTTCTTGTCTATAATCTTTGTAAATTAAGAAATGGCAAATCAATATTTTCACTTGCAGCTATGGAAAAAACATATATTTGATTTCCATTGAAAATATTAAAAATTTTTACCAACTTCATAAATTATTTTACAGATAAAGGAAAAACTTTGGACGGGAACCGGGACCAACTGTAAATGCTTGACCGGGACCGGGACGGGACCGGGACCGAAAAAAGATGATTTTGCCGCTCCCTAGGTGTGTGAGCGCGTGTGAGTGTGGGCGTGGGTGAGGGCAGATGGATGAGGGTAAGAATACGGATGTAGTTGTTGGTATCACACACACAATATGCCCACACCCCTTCACCCACAACCATCTCGACTTGCTCGGTGTAGACATGCGTCACAATGAGAGTTTAATTTTCATCAAATCAAATAGAGCAAAAATAATAAAAACTGATAAAAAACATATTCTCATACAAAAAGACAGTATTATTAGAAACATCATCATTCGTTAATCTTTGATCTTTGCTATTATTTCAATTAGACAAATTATTTTATCTTTATTTTATTAAATAAACATAAATAGAATCGTTATATTTCCAAAATAAAGAATAAAAAAAGATTTCTTTCTATAGTAGATAATGAGATAAATCTCTAGGATAGCAATAGGATATATATTAATCGATATTCTTCTTATCACTACCCTCACATCGTCATGTGATGTTATAGAAGAACAAAGACGATACTTGAATAAGTATATGAAAAGAACTTTTTCAGATTCTTTATTTGTATCTGTGATATCTGACTTTTTGTAAGTTACATAGCAAAAACCTCTAAAAACAGGATTTCCTAGAAAATACATCTCTTTATTTAATAAAAATAAAGAGTTTTCATATTTATTCTTTCTTATGAAGAATACTAGAAGTAATTGAAATATCTGAAATTTCCATCAGATTAGACAAGTAAGAATTAACTAATAATATATGATTGATGTTTTTTCATTAAATAGAATTTTATAAGTTATTGTAAGTAATTGATCAATTTTTTTTATCTCTTTGAACACAGACATACCTGCTTCTTCTGTTGTTGTTGTTGTTGTTGATGGATTTTTTGCTGTTGTTGATCCTGATTCTGGTGTTGATGATTTTCTGGTTGCTAACATCGATGTTGTTGACCCTCTTTCTGTTATCATCATTATTGTTGTTAAATTTGTTTTAACAACGCTTCTCTTTTTAGCGAGAATAATAGCAGTTGCAATAGTAATGATCGCTATTATCACAATAGCAAATATGATCCACGTCAATTTACTTCGAATGCACACACATCTAAAATAATTTTCTTTTTTTATTTATTCAAGCTCAGAATACACGTACGATCTTGTCGATTGTGTAGGTTGTGTTTCACCTATATCGCTGTTAACTGACTGAGGCTACAAAGTAAAGAAGACAAAAAACGAGTTAGTTTTTGTTTTTTATACAATAAATTATATCACAAACACGTATTCTATTTTGTTTCTCCATTTGTAGATCTTCGTCAAAATTTTGCAATGTTATGAAATTAAATCTAAAATATTTCGGAAAAATATGATATAAAAAAGTTTTAGATTTAAAGGCAATGTAACATCTAAAGAGTCATATCATGGAGGTATAAGAGTTTTTGATATCAAACACTTACTTGAGTCGCCTCAGAATCAAAATGAAGAGAAGTCAAGTTGAAGATGCATAAAATAGGAGAAAAATGTTTGCCTATTTGATGAGATTATTCATCATAAACTTAATAAATAAAGACTTTATTGGAAAGTTTAAGAGAAAACAAAAAAAACATGTTTTCTATTATTTAGCATCTATCATTGACATAATAAATCAAAATATTTCTAATAATGTTAGGAAAAGTAAAATCATGATTTTCCCCCAGATTCATCAATCATAAAAGATTAGAATAAGTAAAGAATATGCACGTAGGTGTTTAACATATAGAAAAAAAAGTACAAGAATAATTTAGATATAATTCTTATAAATCATATTTTGAACTTTTATGCGATTCAACAAGGACTACAAAAGTATGCGTACAAAATGTCCACATATTAAAACGATATGTTATCACTTACTGGGATAAAGATACATGTATTGATATGAAAACGTTAACTGGCCCTAATTCTAGGAATTGTTAGAATTGGTATTCATCATCTCTATACTTCTATGGCTTTTAAGCGAATTCATGTTTTTATATATTCGTTTTCATCAAGCTCCAAGATACTATTTCATTTGTATTTGTATATCTCATTTTTTTGAGAGAAGTTTTGAATCTATCTTTCAAAATGCTTTTAGGAAACTTTTAATTTCGATTGAATTAATCTTTTTCTTTTTATCATAACATCTTTGAAAATGATTGATATTATTTGACGAAGGAATATTTTTATGTATTTCCCATTCATTTTATTTTATATTGCTAGAGAAGAGAGATTAAAGACTTTTTTTATTACAACAGATTAATTTATGATAAAAATATTTCGAGAATATTTTAAAAGTTAGACATTTCTTTTATTATATGATTTGCCAATCATAATTGTTCATTATGAATTTAAAACTCATTAATTAATCTTTACTTAATTTTGTTCGTCAAATAAATATAAAAATTCTTCATTCTAACTAATACCTTTATTAAAATAAGTCTATGAATTATTTTTTGCTTTCGACCATAAAAAACTATATCTTGGCGGTGGTGTGATTGTTGATATGATTTTCATGTATACCAGATATTCAGGCCTACACCAACACCCACCCTCAAAGAGTTCTTAGTCAGGCCGATTTTCTTCTTTATTTATATAGAGTAACTCGAAAATGGTAGTCAATCTTAAAGAAATAAAAGAATAAAACACGATTGATGATTAATTTAATGAGCCCGTTATTGTAATGCCTCTTCAAAAATAAATTTTCTTTCATCGATCATTTATATATATTCTTTATCTACACATACAAAAGCACGTCATCAATTCCGCATGAGAATTTATTGGAATGACATAAGTACGTCATTGGCTTATGCTCGTATGAATTATATTCATCATCATCAAAACCATCAGCAGCTTTTTTCTCATCTTTTTTTTCTGGTGCCTGTCGATATATGATTTTATATTGTATTCAATTTCTGTTTGTTTTATTTAGTTTACTTCATTCAGAATCCGTTCGATCATTTTCAGAATGTTTCTGTTTTTCTCCTTCTATATAATATAGCAAAGCTTGTTTTTTTTTAAACAGAAAGTGTTCATCTTTATTAAATCTATGTTATTAAAACATAACAGACATTGATCAATGTCTTTTTGTTCATTTTTCTGTTAAATAAAATAAAATTTATGCATTTATCATCGATGATGAGTAATGCTCGGTGTAGACAGCTCATTTTTGTGAAAAACATCTCTACTGATTGTATCATTTTCTGAATAAGATAGTAGTTTTATTGATATTCGTGCTTGGCTGTATAGATCGTAGATAATGAAAGAGTAAGAAAATGAAGTTTTCTTCCAAGATAGAATTTTTTTACCCAGAGGGAAAAGGCGGATCCTATGGATTTGGATAGATCCTGAAGAGTATCAAGGATCCATTTGGAGGATGTGAAAGTGGGTGGGCGTAAGGATTTAGGAGCAGTCATCCTATGCCGAAATGTCGAATATTATGAAATTAGCTGCGGTTCGAAATCAATTCTATTTCATTCCGGTAACATGATCGTCATACAGCATAAGAGGCCAAGTGAATGGCTTTTCGTACCACCCTTTACGAAGGATGGGTGTGGGTGCGGATGGGTTTGGATGTATGTGTGGGTGTATCTTATTCATTGCACCCACTCTCACATTCATACCTTTACACCCACACCCACAACCACACCCTTGTTGTGTTATTGCCAATAACAATGACTTTGTCATAGGCGTTGCACACAAGTAACTATATATACTTTTCCATATAAACTTATTTCAACGATATTCGCAGTATATTACACCGATTTATTTCCTTATTATAGTCATATTTCTAATGTGATGATTTAAAAGCAACTTTTATTTACATTTTTTAACATGGAAAAAGAAATGATCGATTATTTAAGCAAAAAAATAAATCATAAATGTTAGTTAACATTAAATTTCATTTTCTAATTGAAGTATCATAGAGTAACCATCGGAAGAACCATAGTATTTCGGAAGTAGTTTAGATATTCGGAATCCATGATTAAAATATAATTTTAATGCACGTTCATTCGATGTGTTAACTTCAAGAGTCATTCTCACAGCACAAGTTAGACGAGCATGCTTTATCATATGACGCAAAAGTAGACCACCTAAGCCACGTCCCCATTGACTAGGATGAAGAGCTAAATTTGTTATACTTGATTGATTATGTAATAGAGATTGTAAACCATATCCAACTGTAGGTTGTGTACTGTTGGTATTTTCAAGTATCCAACAACTTGACAATGGATCCTTAAAAAAATCGGAAAAAAATCCCAAATTCCATGATTCATCACCCCAGATCATTTTTTCAATTTCAACGGCTGTCGCAAGATCAGTTTCATTCATTGGACGTATTTCATATTGATTTAGTTTGTCAGAAGTTATTGTTAATGCTTGATCGTCATCGTTTATATGTACCTCAGAGGACATGTTACTAGATTATGAAATTACTACTGAAGCTTCTTTTTTTATATCATGATGAAAAAAAAAGATGACTCATTTAAGATTTTTCTTTCTTTTTATAGCCGTAGGAAGTAAACAAAAAATGACAATCAAAAACATGCTTTTGACTTAATACAAAAAATGATGTTGCCAAGAAATCCGGAAAAGAAACCAGAAAAAGAAAAACTGAAGAATGAAAAATCAGGAAAACATTTATTCGTAATTTATTAAGCATAACAGACATCACGAGTAGAAATAATGAAGATGTGAAAGACACTTCGATAAGAAGTTTACCTCTTTGAAGCTACCAATAGAGAGAGTCCGTGGAGAGGTTCGACACGATCGATGTCGCCGTTACATAAGCGAGTATCTAAAATAGTCCGAGAGAGAGACCATACTAGTAGAAACGCAGAGCGATAGAGCGGATAATACAAAGGTAACCAGGAGTGCGTGAACACAAAGCATATGAATAGCTGTTTATTTGATCTCTATTAAAAGATACAGAAAAAAGAAAAAGCATATTGACATGTTTTTTTTTCTTTTCTTGACTTTACTTCGCCGGATATTTTCGTTTCCGGATTTCTTGATATATTCAAAATCGTAATTAAAAAGCACTTAAGAAAAATAAACAACATTATTACTGGAATCTTCATTCTGACTAGTTGATAAGTCTCACGAAATATTTAAATAATCGTCTCTTATTTTTTCTATATTTTAAGACGTGCATTCAATCTATATGTTTAATACTGACAATCAAAGAAGTGTTCCCAGACAGGTGTTATGATAATTGATCGTGTTTTCTAGAAAAATTTCAATTATTTCGACAGAATGTGGAATACACAATTTTTAAAAACCGAATATGACTTTTCAACCAAGATAGTACTTCTCTTATATAGATTTAACTTCCAAATTTCATGTTTACCACATAAAATCATTTTTAAAACTACTTACAAAGTTACATGTTACTTTTCGAGTTTTTCAATATTTAAAATCATAGGAAAGGACAGAATACTTTTCGATGTTCATCAGAAATTAGCTTAAATTTTTCTTTATGTAATAAGAAAATGGTCTTTTTTATATTGAAGTGATGATATGATTTAAAAAACCAGTCTTAGAACATGTACGGGGAGCTCGTGACTGATCCGAATATATTTGAAATCAGTTCACACAATGACTTGTGTCAATTATAAAATGTAGTGTACCAGGTAGAATTTGATGAGTTCTATTAATATACGATTGCACACGATGATATGCAACCATATGCAGCAGTCTTGGGTGAATGTGGGTGTATGATTAATATAATATCTGCACCCATATCCTGTTTCCCCCTTGACTAAAAGACAGTGGTTAGGGCGAATCAAATATATTCTTTGGGTAATAATCAGATATTTTATTGATCAACCTTACGCATTTCCACTATGACAACGTTAAGGAAATGACCCTTGACTGAAGAAGAAAGCGGGAAAACTATGAGTAACTCTAGATTCGATCTGTCATCAGAAGATGAACTTCTAACAGCTTTTGATTGCATAACTACTGACTCTCCTCTTCGTCTAATAGCTCATCATTTACCTTCGCTTATTTCGTCAACATCGCAATCAAAACAGTCCCAAAGAAAATGCGTCGTTTGTATATCTCATAATGTTCAACGTGATACATGGCATTTCTGCGCTCATTCTAATACCCTTCAATGTATTATCGATTGCTTCAAAGACTACGATACAAAGATAAACTACTAATAGATCTTTGACATAAAAATACTGTGTCTTTCTAAAGAAACAAAGATTATATTGAGAGATGTCTCATGAAAGGTCTCGATGTTGGCGAAAAAAACCGGAAGTCAAAAGGTTAAAATAAAAGATAATTAAAAAAATATTTCTTTGTTTTGTTTCTTCCACATAAAACCTCAATGGCTCTCAAAATTACTTTGTTGACCTGAATTTATTTCAAAAATTCGCTAACGTGCGTGATTTATCGAGATAAACTCGTCGATTTTTAAGCGATCTTTAACACATGGGTAGTCACCAAACATCATAAACTATGTGATTCAGTTCACAAACAATTTTAAAATATAAGTACTCAAGTTTTTTAAATTCTATTTTTATACAGTAATGTATGAAAAATGTAAATAATCTTGAGATTTTAATTAGAATGCTGTACATACAATTATGTTTGATTCTGTTATTGTTGTTAAAAATCCTGTTATATAACATCAGTTATTTTGTATTTTTAAAAGTTGATTATATTTATATCAAGATCGAAAATTTTCATATTATATAGAAAATAAACTAGTTACAGAAGAAACTAAATAAATATCAATGTGATTAAAATCTCAAGATTATTTACAATTTTCATACATAATGGTCACATAGAGACTTTCACCCGAAAGAATACAGCATTGAGAATGATATCACCTATTTGAAAGGTCTCTTAAATTCTATATCTCGTAAGTCAGGATCAGAAAAAATATGATCAACTTTTGTAATTGTTCATATATTTGTCAATATAAATACTTTTTTCCACTCCGCATTCTTGAATAAAAAACATGACTCTACACGTTTTTTCTTCATTAACGTCAATAGAATACTTATTTTTTCCAAGTTATTTCAATGGTTAGTGAACCGTGACAATATTTCATCACTTGTTTTTTTCGTTCTCCATGTGTTGTTTTTCATAAAAATATTATACACAGTTAAAGAAAGAACATTTTGTAAGGAAGTAGACACATATAAAACGAATCGGTTTTGATCATTATTTCAGTAGTATTTTTACACAGTAACTTCAACTCAAACCATTCACGTAGAAAACAATGAACAACGGACAATCAGCAACAAATGTATCGGCAGTTTCAGGAGGTGCAGAAGATCGTCAACGTATCAAACTTCAAGAAATTCAAAATGTTCTTCTAATCTGGTTAGGCAACAATATCGACGAGAACAAAGACGATTGCCAAAATACAATCACACAATTGCGACGGGTTGTCAACGATATTAATACATTTACAGATGTTGATCAATGCTTTGAGTTCATTGAAACAATCGTCGACCAAAAGGCGTGTATGATCGTATCTGGATCAGTTGGACAACATTTTGTGCCTTTTGTGCACAATATGTCTCAAGTTGATTCGATTTTTATTTTTTGTGACAACCGAAAACTTCATGAACAATGGGCCAAAGACTGGCCGAAAATAAAAGGTATCTTCACAGATATTACACCAGTCTGCGAAGCTCTCAAGGAAGCTGCTCATCAATGTGAGCAAAATGCCATTCCCATCAGTTTCGTGGAATCAAATCAAAAGTTGGATCAATTAGATCCTTCTTTTATGTACACCCAAATCATTAAAGAAATATTATTAACCATCGACTTCGACCAAAGTCACCTTCAGGATTATATTAATTACTGTTGCGATGTTTTTCCAGATAACGAAAAACAAATAGAAAATATTAAACGATTACAAGATCAATATCATAGCAAAACACCGATCTATTGGTACACGTGTGACATGTTCCTATATCCCATGCTCAATGGCGCATTACGATTAATGAATGGTGATATCATTACACGTATGGGTTTCTTCATTGGTGACTTGCATCGACAGATTGAACAACTACACCAGGAACAATATGCTGGTGCAACTGCTGCTGATACCTTCACCGTTTTTCGTGGTCAAGGTTTATCTACAGGGGATTTTGAACAAATGTTGAAAATCAAAGGTGGTCTTATTTCATTCAACAACTTCTTATCCACTAGTAAAGATCGTGATGTTTCCTATGTTCTTGCCGACAGCAATCAGGTCAATCCAGATTTAGTTGGAATACTTTTTGTTATGAAAGTAGATCCATCTCAATCAACATCACCATTTGCTTCAATTGCTAATATTAGCAAGTTCCAAGGTGAAGAAGAAGTCTTGTTTTCGATGCATAGCGTGTTTCGTATCCAAGGTATTAAACAGATGGAAGAAAATAATCGTTTATATGAAGTTAACTTGGTACTTACTACTGACAACGATCCAGAATTAAGTAGACTTACTGATTACATTCGAGAAGAGAGTTTTCCAAAGTGTGAAGGATGGTACCGACTGGGTTTAGTACTATGGAAAATGGGTCAAGTTGACACAGCTGAAGACATTTATCACATTTTACTGGATCAGACGGAGGATGATCAACACGAGGGAAACATTTATCATCAACTTGGTTTGATCAAAGGCCATCAAGAAGCACTTACACTCTATGAAAAATCACATGCTATCAAGCAAAAAACTCTTCCACCTAATCATCCTATTCTGGCTATGTCCTACAACAACATTGGTTTAGTGCATGACAGTATGGGTGATTATCCAGAAGCACTTTTATCTCATGAAAAAGCCCTTGAAATCAAACAACAATCACTTCCTTCCAATCATCCTGATTTGGCTATGTCCTACACCAACATTGGTTTAGTGCATGACAGTATGGGTGATTATCCAAAAGCACTTTCATTTCATGAAAAAGCCCTTGAAATTCAACAACAATCACTTCCTCCCAATCATCCTGATTTGGCTTCTTCCTACAACAACATTGGTTCAATGCATGATAGAATGGGTAATTATCCAGAAGCACTTTCATCTCATGAAAAAGCCCTTAAAATCAAACAACAATCACTTCCTTCCAATCATCCTGATTTGGCTAACGAGGGAAGGCCACCAACTGTCCCCTCGCTTTTGAGTTGAAAC